GCCCAGCCAGTTAATTCCAGAACACAAGTCTCAGCCTCTGCGATATGAATCATTATATTTCAAACATACTCTGTTTATATACCAATCAAGCAGACCACAACGTACCAATAAAATATGAAACAACATTTGTACAAGAATTAGCCAGATGTGGCTGTGGACGAGGGAGGTAGTAATTAATATACTGGGTATAACTCAAGAATGGTAAGACGTATAATAATAGTTTATGGATCAAAATAAAGCTTATAATGAGAGTTTAGTTATTTAACAATTATACGATAAAAATATACGTTTAGTATTGGTCCGTAAAAGGATCCCAAAGTTATCATTCATTATGTTTCTCGGGTCCTAACAAAAAGATATTTCAAGAGTACAGTCATGTATAATAAATGAAGATAGTTCACTCATTTTCAATACTGTATGGTGATTGCATATAGATTTACAAATAATTATTTTATATACTATTCCAACTTATGTTCTGATTTTCAAACTATTGAATTGAATGAACATGAGATTTTACAAATACATTCTTCCTCAATAATCAGCCTTGTAACCTTTAGGAAATTCCTATGTATTTATTGATTGTTATGCTCAATGATAGTCTTTTACACAACTCTTAAACCTATTAAATCACTTACGAATTCCCAATGAACGTTCACAATATCCTATCATGTTATCTCAAAGACGTTTTACATTCACTACTTAAATTTATAGTTTCTGAATTCTCATTCTATAAACATTAGTGAAGAAAATTGTTTTATATAACTGTTAGTAGCTCATCATAAAGCCGGAAATTTCTGTATTGTCTACATACCCCATTTATGCATGATAGAACTGAACTAGTTAGCAAATTTAGAAATGTCATAGTTTTCTGACTTTCATTTCACGATACTACTCTAAGTGATATAAAATGTCTTAGTCGCTTTCAAATCGTTGCTTTTAATTTAATCATAGTAATGAAAGTATGATTAGTTAAACTATTTAAAACATATTTGTTACCCTTTAGTGAACTAGAACACAAGTGGGAACAACCAAATGTATCTTAGTACATTACAAAATATCTTGGTGAAATCTGCCAACCATACAGTGAAAACGTCATTTGCAAAATGTCAATCAGTCGTCTCAGACTTTGTTGTTCCTTCGTTTTCATACCAATCACTCTCAGTTCTTGTTCTCTTTTCTTCGAGTTTCTCAACTTTACGCTGCCAGACATATTACTTTCGATTGGTGATACATACCACTTATATCTGCCAACATCAGTAGCACACACCACACCCACTGCATTTATATACATCATAAACTATATATTTCGTACACGAATTACCAACTGCCTACATATTTAATCAGTAGAATATATGTAAATCCAGGAACGTGGTTCATTTTTGAAAACACATTTATCACGTACCAAATCAGGAAGAGGGAAAACAGCAAACTGAGAATAATATGATTTTATTTCATTCCATTCTCATCATATAATGACAGTCTTTGATGTTTAAATAATAAAATTAGATTCGGTTACTTCTTTGAAGATTAGTAAATTGGTCCTACCACTCACAGACTTGCGAATCACCTTCTTGAGCACAAAGGTGGATGAAAACTAGTTTCAAATTTACTGTAGACCACGTCAGCGATTCCTGTAGATGATAAGCACTGAAAACCAACGGAGACTTCTAGAACTCTCTATGCTTTCTATTACTTATATATGAATGTAATGATATAAAACTGAGTTTATCGAGTAAAACTTTTTTGACTGAGTTAATCGAGATTTTTCTTATGATCAGATGGTCATATTTTGTTACTTAAAAAAAACGACAGATCCTGTGATAGAATGCTGCTAGCTGATCAACCAACACAACTAGTACTATTCAGATGCTTTTTCGAACATCTTTAGTAACACATATTTGAATTTAATGTCAAACCTGATTGTGTTAAGTTTTATGAAAAGGACAATGATGAGTACTTTCTTAAATTGACTTGAGACTGTATATTTTACGTATTAACTGATATTTTCTAAGATTTATTATGGTTTAAATCCTGGTCAACGACCGACAGTTCAATATTAAATATGTGCTAATTAATATGTAATTGCTGAATGATTCGCGTATTAAAACAATCATTCACAAAATAAATCATCTACAAAACATCTCCTTTACTTCGAATATTTTTCTATGCCTATCTGTGAAACCAAGCATGTACATTAACAGAGAAATTAAAGATTTGATCGCAATAGATTATCAGTTCAAATTACTTGTATTTCAAGAATACTGCTAATTGTATTACAAGTTCAAAATACAGAAAATTAATACCAACGTGATCGCTGGATTACTTAGCTTCTATTAATTGTGCCAAATTCATACCGGCAACGAAACTTCAAGTGCGTTCTCTAATCAAATTATGCAAGATCTTTACCCTCTTTTGATTGGCTGTCACCACTTTTAGTTCGCTAATTCTTTGCATGCTTACAGGTCATGCTTTCATTGTTGTACATACTGAGGTGCATGGTTTCAAACTGTTCCGCTTGAATGTTCGGTTTTTCCTAAACGTCCTCTTCTTCCTATTTGGACGGCTACCGATATTGTGTTCATGACAGAACCGTTTGTGTTTTAATAGTTCAATCGCAACTTAATTCACAGGTATCGTTGGCCAACCAGAAACCTCAATATATAGTCACCTTTATCACAACTTAAAAACTAGATAAATATATCTCATCTAAAGTGGATAATAAGAAACTCTAAATACTAACTAGTTAAAGATTTAAAAAATGGATAAGTAAAACGTGGTTTTTTTCATTTCCTTCTGCAAGCTTATTAAACAACTGAAGATATGATCTGTAGTGTTGTGGTAAAAAATCACGTAATACTTTGATCAGTAACGCGTTTTAAACACTCAATTGATCTAAAATCAACTTTTTTAAAACCATAAAACGATCATTTCAGTAGTGGTTGTAACAACGTTTATTTGCTTTTTTTAAAGTACGATCATGTACATGTAAAATACCATAATCATTTCTAATTAATGAGGATAACATTAAGATTAGATTGGTTCTTAAGTTATATGTATCGGGATTTGGCTAGACCGAAATTCGGACGTAGAACAATAATTAGGCACTATTTTTATACGTTGTTTCAATATATATATATATATATATATATATATATATATATATATATATATATATATATATAGATATATATATAGAGAGAGAGAGAGAGAGAGAGAGAAAATACATGAATATCTACATTGCGGTTGTACATGAGCGATTTCTGGACAGCCATAATCAATAAAGAGATTAGCACAGAAATCCATTGGGTTAAGTTTCTACGTCAAACAAACACAAAATTTACAGTAGGAATATAGAAGCACACGACATTGCAGTCGTAGAGTAAAAGACTCAGTAGATAAAGATTCGCAGGATCATCAACTGATTTTTTATTTTTGCCAATTATCTTACGTCTAGCCTCAAGATTGCTTAACTAACTCGTCCAAAATGGACCGCCTTTGCTTTAAAAATGCTTATGATGAAGAACTTGTAGTCTACGAATGTCTTTCAATTTCAGAAGCCATATTTTACAGAAATAAAGTAAGATCACTGTACAATGACGAAGTTGGTACGTTTGGTTTAGTTGTTGCAAATAAACGAAATCATTATATAAAAATGGGATCAATCGTTAAGTGATAGACGCTTTTATCTATGAAGTATGACAAATATATGACAGAATAAGTAAAACTATTTAATTATTGAGATCGAATATTACTACTAGCAAAACAATGCTGAGGATACATACTTGCTAAGTTACTAGTATCCAATTAGGATTTACAAACTAGGTAAATCCGTATATTTATTAGAAGCAAAGACGAATTAACTGAAATTCACTGTGCTTAATTTGTGCTCATTATTCTTATACAATAGATTAGCATGAATTTTGGACTTAAACAAGCAGTAGAATACATTAGTATGTTTATGCATACTCTGTTGACGATAACTTCATTTTGTTTACGTGAACAACCTCGATGATTAATTCAATTCGGTGTATATATACTGAAAAGAACAAGTACCGTTAAATCATCATGCTAAATCAGAACGTGACGAATAGAAATACTTACTAGAGAAACTTGTTTTCAATATATAAATTCACAATGAAACTTCATCTATTAGTATATAATATAAAGTTTGTATCAAGTCATTTAAGAAAATATGTTTGTACTACTAAAAAAACTTTGAAGAATTAAGTAAATCATAATCAGTAAATAAATATTTATTTAGTATTAAATATATTTTCTAGAAATAAAGTGTAATATACAATGCTAAATATACATTTATATATATATATAGCATTTCTATACATGGGTTAAATAAAACTCATACACCAACACATATACGAATAGTGTACTGTTGACTGGCTGAGTTCAAAATCATCCTGTTTTTCTACATAAAAATAAATTACACTTTTCATGTAAACATAAGCACTATGTCGTCCATGACAGTGGCATAAAAATAAAGTATCATCGAATTATCAAAATTATATACTAGAACTATACAAAATGATATGATCTACCTTACAAGAATAAAGACTTCTTATGGTTATAATAATGAAAAGGTACCAATAAATATTCGGAATAAAGAATGTAATATACAAAATAAAATGTATCAGAAATACTAGTAAAGCAAATAAGGATAAAGTTGAACAGAAATTCCTTAATTTCTATTATTGAAATAGATTAAGATTAAAATGATCGTATAAAAATTATACATGCCAAAATGGACTACTAATCAAGTGATTAAGTAGTATGTAAACAGATTTTTCAAACAATACAATATCTAAGATCAATAATACGAAATGTTACATGTTTAAAAAAAGAAATTGTCTAGATATATTAAAAAAAAGATCAGTTTGACTATTTTTTTGGCCATAAAATCTTCCAATCACCCTACCATTTATTAAAGTCTCATTTTTTATATACTAATAAAAATACACTTCAAATTACATTAACTGAATTGAGTACTTAACTTACGTGTATACAATGAATTTTGTTTTAGAAAAAAAAAAACACGGTAAAAACGTTGGAAACAAATATCTGTACTGTAAAAAGAATCTTTGCAGTCTTAAATCAAAATACATAAACGACATTCGAAGAATTTATGTACAATAATGAAAGATTTAATGATTGGCAGAAATAAATGATGAATATGTTTATAAATATAAATTATCCCAATAAAAATTCATTCATTCATTTGTGTTGAAAAAAGGAATAAAACACAAGTTTCATTTTCAAACCATTTCCCTCTCTCTCTCTCTCCCTCAATTTCAATGTATTAAAAAGTTCAATCATCTTATTACTCTAACATATAGACAACCTTTGAATATGATTAAAAACATAATAGAATGAAATAGGCATTATTTTAAGCACATCGACCTTTCAGTTCAGTTTCTAGTTGGAAAAGACGTGTTTTTAACGCTTTGTATTCATAGTATTCTGAACGCATACATAATCGATCCTCTCGTTCTACCTTTTGACCTTTACAAATGAAAGAAAATAAGTATTAAGAATACATACAAAAAATCCCTATATATATACTCTAATGAATATTGAGCATATTACCAGGATTTAGTCGAATTTACTGTTAAACCAAAAAAGGATAGCTAGATATACACATTGCATAATTAAAATTTATATAAAACTATTAACATTCTGACCTACTCACAGATCAACATTGTCATAAAATTTAATAGAATTTTTTATTTTAGAACGCAGCAATGAAATAAGATTAACCGAATCGCTTTTGTATGTTAACACTATCAAACAAAATTGACCATTCCTATTTAACTTCGTACATTTGAACAATAAGAAATAAAATCGGATAAAGAAATTGAAAGCGCAGAATGTTAAAGATAACGGATATTGAGGAAGCTTATACATTAGGTTGATATGTTGTTTCATCATATGAATGGCTTTAGAAACTAAGATTACAACCATACTCAAATAACACAGCATAGATACATATTTTAATATATGGCCTCATAGGGAAAAAACGAAAAAAAGAGACGTTCATAACAAATCATGGTAAGAATAATAAGTAAATAGCAGTGTAGAACTATATTTTAGAAAATACGGAAATCAAGTGAAGTGAAAGCAACGAGAGGAAGACTTACGAATTATTCGTTGTAAAACAGTAAGACGAAAAATGGATATGTTGACAGGGATGTAAACGGCTTCACATCATTTAGTAAATGAATCTATCAATCATAATTGTACGTTTTGAAATGTATCTTAAATTAAGAGATTTTTTTAATTGATTTTATCTCAAATTACGAACTGATTAATTTGCTATATTTAAGATTCTGCCGACTTGATATCGGTGAATGTTCAGTTAAGAACATTTACTTGAATGGAATCATTTGGCAAGAATCTTAAGAATACCATTTTAATGTGTTTTTAATTGATTGAAACTTATTATCTACACATTAGAGCTATACATGTGTAAAACTTTACATAAGGATAGAACGTTTTCAGTGGAACATGAAGTTTGCATCATTTGGACTACAGTAAACATTGAATATGATTGTTAGTGAAAGCTATTGATTGATAGGAAACTTAGTAGGCATAAATATTAGAAAAATAACTGTTTAGAATATTTTGATTCAAAACGATCCTCTGTAGGAGAGCTGGTAACTGAAGGTCTCTCAACAACAAATATACCACACCTGACAAAGATTATTAACTGAGGATGATTCATCCCATAAATTTAAAAAATCAGTATGAGAATTTCGTATAATAGAAAAACTGTAATTGTTACTTGAATATCTAATAAACATTCATGTAAATCTAAAAAATTATAGGTAATGCCTCAGAAGATAGACTGAATCAATCCGTACATTCATTAAGTCAATCAGAATTAATTTTGGCATTATTAATTTATGAAAAACAAAACGACAATAACATACAGTGTTAAAGATAGCTCAACTTACCAGTAGTTTGGGCAAATTCGTGTTCAAAATCTTTCAACGTCTTTTGTAATTGGCGTTTTGATTCACGTAAAGTACGTAATGCTGTCTTTAAGTCAGCGGTAGACCAACTTGAAAGGTCTGATGATGAAATAGCTTTTGACGAGCTGCAATGATAATTGATGACAAATAAAAATAGAAGTGATTAAAAAAATGTACGACACAGTCTTTGCTAACAAAAATTCAGATTTCTGATAAACTTTAAATTAGGTTTTATTGGAAACCTAGAAATAAGTGAAAAGGTATTGATTGGATAGATGTATGACTTGTACTGCTTATATGAGAATACTGGACTTCTATCATGAAATTTTATAATCTAAAGCGTTTTAGTTCGCAGAATAATGCTTAGAAACATTGCTAATCCTCATTGTCACATGATTTTAGCCAACCTTCAGTTTCATGACAGGAAAGAGAGAAGGATCGTTGATTAGTTAACTAACAAGTAACTAATAGCCATAATATTTAAAAGAATATATATATATATATATATATATATATATTTCAAAACGGTATAACAGCTGATCAAGCCAACATACCCCTACCGAAAAACTACAGGGTTATAAGTTGACTGAAAGAGGTTCCAGATTGGCTGTGAAAAATTATAGATAATCCCAGTAGCATGCTATAGAAATGGAAACAATTATGCTTAAAAACAATATGAACAGATATGAAAGTACATGTTATTGCCGACTAAGTACAAACAGTGTAAACAAGTATGTATCGATATGCTATTAAATGATACACAATATAAATCCGTGAAAATACTAAATGCTATTCATTTGACTGCAACCGAGTCGTTAAAGAAAAGAACAAACAAACTATTAGAAAAGTAGATGGTTTAAACGTTGAGGACTGCCAGTAATTAACGAATTGTGCCATTGTAAAGACATTTATAGATTTTTTAAATTTGACGGTTATAAACTCACTCCGTGCATTTTTCATTGAATGACACAGTATTTATAGCATTTTCTGAGGTGTCAAGAAATCGACGGCGGTTTTTCATAAGAGCAGTAGGATTAGTACCTAACTGAACTTCATTCGAAATATTGGCTTGAATAGTTTTCGGATTGGAAAATGAAGACGATAATGGCGGAGGCGAAAAGTATGGTGCTCTGGCACCGATGAAATTTTCTTGACGAATAGGCGAGGAGAATTCACTTCTAATTCTATTTGAGCATGTCACTGAATCAAACAATCTAGTCGATGTATGTGTTGATGTAGATAACGCATTTTCTACAGGATGTTGGTTATTTTCATTAACGAATTGAGAATGACAGTTAAAAGTATTTACATGATAGTTGTGAATGGCATTATCTTGATTTCTTTTACTCAAACCGATTGTCCCAACTAAAGTGACGAGAAAAATACAAAGAAAAATCTGATTCACTCAAGGGTAAGAACATACTGATCAGAGCGAATGCCTAATTGACTTCCTAAATATACACTACTTCATAATTAATTAAGTAGTTCAATTTGCATAAATGTATTTGACAGTCACCCGCGACGACAACAGTTTTACTTTGAAAGGTCATGTTTAGCATTGAATAATTGGTTTGATACATAACTCATTGCAGCCTATTTTCTCCAAACCCTCACTAAAATGATTACGTTAATAAAAAGAATGATTTAGCTACCAACAATCCAAGTTAGATTTCTACTAGCAACTCATTCTTAACACAAGACTTCAATGATAAATTTTTGTCAGAATGAGGTTTGTGGAAATTGTAGTAATTTGATGGTTCGATTCAAAATTTTATTTTAGATAGACCACCCTGAAAACAATGGACTCCTCAGTAGTGGAGAAGATTTGTAGCTCAGGTGGGTGATTTTGGTGGAGTTTTGTTCTCTGAGCTGGATGGTTTGGTCGTGGAGCTTTCATCGTTCTTCTGAACGACATCATCAGCACAAACTTCAGATAGATAGACTTCTATCTGGAGTTTGTGCTGATGATGTCGTTCAGAAGAACGATGAAAGCTCCACGACCAAACCATCCAGCTCAGAGAACAAAACTCCACCAAAACTCCTCAGTAGTCTCATACTAGGATGAAACGGACGTCCAGTGCTTCCAGGTTTTCCAGAGTGGTCTAGCTTAAATCAACTTAGAAATTTTTGTTTTCATTTTTACAGTATGGTAAATCCAGTCGATGAATAATACGGGTACGTGGCGAAAAAACAGCCACATCAAAACAGAGCAGGTAAAATCAGATGAAAAACACACCGTATAATAATAGATATACTTACACCATTCATTATTTTTACCACACGGTACTCTACTATTTCTATCACTGGTACTTTTTGTATCACAATCTATTTCATTGTACTTCAGATCAACATTTGAATCCAAATTGTAAGATTGTTTATTAAAAGCAAAATTATTTTTATTCTGGTTCTCATCAATATATGTTGGTCGTTCATTTGGACTGAACAACCTTGTAGAGTTAGGATTAATGTTATATCTTACTGTTGATGGAATTGATGTAACAGTAGGTTGTTTTCGAGCCAAATCCAATCTATCATTAACATGATCATTATTATTACCAAGAGTAGATTGGGCTGAAGTAATCGAAGAATATATAGGCAGGTTGAATGATCCTGAAGTGGACAACGACATCATAGGTGGAACAGGTAGGTTGTTATCAGGTATAGATGAGACTGGATTATATAATCTGTTGATAGATCGCAAACTGGAATAAGAAACAGGATTAACTGACTTAAATGAAGCGATACTATTGCTAGTTGTACCAGTAGAATGAATAGATTTTGTTTGTATATTACTATCATTGATTAGCGGCACTAAATTTGGTGATAGTATTGATCGCCGTCTCATTTGATCATCAATCGATGGAACAGATGACTGAAGTTCTGTATCACTAGTTTCTTCTATGTGTTCAGCAATATTCAAATTATTATCAGATTGTAAACAATTTAATAAACGTTTGACACTACGATATCTATCATATAATGGTCTCATTGTTATACGATCCTGATGTTCTTTTGGTCGTCCATGCAGATTTTCAAAATATAATAAGGCTTTTTGTAAGGCCAGCTTTTCTGCTGCAATCTATAGAAAAAAGTTAACAAACAATGAGTGTGGAAAAAAAATAAGGATACGATAGACTTTTTATTGATTGACTAGCTTCATATGAACAACAAGATGATAATAAAACCGTATACATAGTAAAAAAAACAATGTAAAATTTCGTAGAACACTAAGCTGGCTACTAGAATTCATAAAATTGCAAGTCAATGTTCACTAACATTATAAATGTTGCTTAATTAATTGAAACCTGATCAATTTAGAAGTTTCATGATTGTCAACAATAACGTATAACATTTTATATTTAATAGAATCGATCATCAATCCCTTAAAAATATGCTAATTGTTTTCTATGATTCAATGCATAAACTCAGTGTTGTAAATTTGACAAAGAATTATGTAATAATATAAGACCTCTTATTTATCAACTTAAAAGGTAACTAATCTTTGGTTCAAGGCTTAGGTATCACGTCACAAACAATTGTAATTGGAGGTAAATACTTTTAATCAAAAACGTTAGCAGTAAAATAAGATTAACAGTATGAATTGGCTTGTTATTGTGGGTTGATTAATAGAAAAAAAACTATTTAAAACTATCTACAGGTTGAGAATAATTATTGTTATAATTCTATATGTTATATTGTAAACTAGAAATCGAAGTGGTTTATTAATTCATTAAGTAAAACAATGTTTTATAGGATAGAAATGATATGCACCACTGGCAAACTGAAACAGGATTAATGGACGTTGAAAGATGTTCAAGAGATAATTCCTACCCATTATTTATTTTATATTATTTAAACACATAAAAAATGGTACAAGGAGGCACCAAATAGATATGGGATGGAGTGAAATACTGCTTATGTGCCCAGACCGAAGAAGGTGGTTTTCTTGGAGGGGGGTCACACCCCGAGCCTTAGACATGAAGGTGTAATTCATAAGGCAGTGGAGCAACGTAAGGAGATGCAGTCCCATGGTAGCCGGTGACCAACAATAGGTTCATGCGCTATTTGTTTCCTTAGGATCTTGGAGCCCGTGTGAACAACATGTACCATAACTCAAACAAAAGTATAAATTTACGGGGGCCTGCCACAGAAAGGCGGATTTATCTCAGATGTCGTTGCATCATCCTCCTTACAATTTATTTCTAGTTCTATAAGTTTGCTTTAAACTAACTAATATTAACCCATATAATTCTTATATACAAAAAGCGTTAATTAACTATGAAACCACTTGTTTCTAGTCCATCGGTTTCTTTTTACTATCACTGTTCCAGAATGTACTTCCATCCATAATATGTATTTATACTATTTTTCTCTGATTTTTATTCAGATTTCGTTTTAACAATTTCCAACTAAAATTCATTTATGTATGTAATTTTAACCTATGCGAATAATTTTGATTTTTCAATATTAAAAATTGTAAGCAGTTGATTAGAACCTTACAATCTAAGATGAATTCATGTTATCCTGTTCAAATTTCTGTTATTGTTGACTTCAAATTGAAAATTTAAAATATGATGACATTATCGTTGTGTTAAACCTTCAGCAAAAGAAAAAGCAGTCTTAAAATTAAGTTAATTAATTTCTAACACTTGGTTTCTTTTGGGACGGCTTCCGAGAAGCACAACGAAGCCTCCAGAGGCCCTAAAAGAGCTGAAGAGTTTCCACACAGCCAGAACCTGGTGGATTTTTCTTGGGTATCAACGTGGCACACTATGATTGAACGGTGGTCTAACTTGCCTCCTTGCAGATTGGGTGAATTATAATGATGTTATAGGTAACGTTGATATCTATAAATACTAGTGATTTTCTGTACATTTTTTATTCTTACCGAAAAATCACTCCTCCTGCTTCTTCTGTCTTCAGATTTAGGACTGTGGGGGTTCTGTACGTCCGAGTGTCGTTGGTTGTATATCATACTCTGAGTTAGTCATGTAGTGAACTTGACTAAAATCTTTTTTTAATTCATAAGCTGACTACTATTTTAAGTAGTACATATACATACGCTTTAAAAATACCCCAATATGTAAGATTAGCCTAAACAAAGGGATAAATCACAAAACTTTATTTCAGAGCAAAACTGGTGGAGCGCAAAAAAGTAATGTGGAATTATGTTTTGGCAAATGTCGTTGTAAATTGTAAAAGTATACAACTTGAATCGAACAAAACTACAAAATAAACTACCTGTTTTGGAGTCATTAAATGAAGATCCTCGGGACGATTTGCAATCATACGTTTTTCAGTTAATCGTTTTGAAAGCAGTAAAAATGTACTTTCTATAGTTGGTCTATTAAGATCCGACTGTCTAGATACATTTTCATTTTCGACTTTATTATTGGGTACGACCGATGGTTTAGAAGGAAATGAATTGTTTGATGATCGAAGTTCTATGATGATAATAAAAAGGAATGTATTAAAAAAACTGTTGTAAATATAAATAATACATCGTGATAATATAACGATTATGTGAAACGTAGTAATGTGAAATGAAATGACTTAATGGATTTTTTTCTGTTGTCTACTAAACAGTTCCAAGATAAAAATTTGCTAGTCAAGTGATTAGAAACAGTGATCAATATTGTTTTGTAGCTCTTGTTATATCATTTACTCTAAGTATTAACAAGAAAATTATAAGATATATATATATATATATATATATATATATATATATATATAACATGGAAATTCCATGATAATATTCAGATTCGTAACTATAGAACCTGAATAAAAAGTTAATGAGAATAACTATTTAAGATGGTGGATAAGATTTGTAGCTCAGGGAACAAAACTCCATCAAGAGAATAACTATTCGCTGAAATATATGACACAGAAATCGATCACAATTCACAGATGAAAAATCTTACCTCTACTACAATCGTTTACTTCGTTATCCATCTTAGGAAAAGACTGTTTCCCTGAGGATTGATTTATTAAATAAGCAGATGATATTATTTTCTCATTTATATTTCCATTGTGAATATTATTATTTATAGAGTTAGTTATGTTTTTTTGAATTTTAATTGAATAATCTTCATATGTATTGTATGCTGAGGAATATCCGTTCTGATTATTGATTGGAGAAATGATACCATTAGAACTTTTACCTGATAATTTGATTTGTCTAATCGTTTCTTGTACTTCAGACAATTGACGTAATAATTCAGCAATCTGTAACCAGAAAATTAAGGAATCAAATATGCTACAAAATCACTAATCTAACTTTGAGACATTTTCACATTAAATTAAGCTTTTATCAAGATAAATTGACGATAAACTGAATTTCAGTGGAAATAATTTTTATGGTATTTATATCAGAAAATGATATCCATGACTTATCACATAAACAAACTGAATAGCCTCCATCTCTATAAAATGCCGGTTATTTGATGACTGTTTGAATGAATTAATATCAATGTTCAGTAAAAGTACCAAATGACACATGATTATAAGAGTTAAACGGAAGCTTCAAACATTATCACATGCACCAAGATATTTATGTTACACTACAACGTAATAATAATGTATGACTGCTTAAAATACCTTCCGTTGCGATTTCAGAAATAAAGTGAATTCTCTCATCTTTTTTCAAAATCTTCAATAAAACCAACTATACAAAGTATAATAGCTCTATAATTCACGGTTATTTTTCCAGGATATTATCAATAAGATAAAACATCTGAATGTGAGTTTATGGTTTAAATTAAAACAGCAGGTAAGATTGCAAACAAAGCAGATTCAAGACTAGTGGTCCAAAGGTAGACGACCATTTTATTAACGAATCCCAAAGAATAAAATCGTTTCAGCTTTACATCCCCAGATAGTTTCATAGTCCATACACAAATTATAAAAAGCTACAACACAAATTTATGACCAAATATACTACATGAATTGAGGTACAAAAAGAGAGTACAAAGCATATGAAAATAAAACGGCTTTGAAATATAAGCTGTCATTAAAAAAATAATGTGTGTGTTGACGCACGACTTCAATTTCAATGATTTTTGGCTGATACATATATTTAAAATTAGTCATCGTCTTCTAAACATTGTTCGCACTTTTTGTCACCATCAAGTAAGAGATATGATTCTTGGTGTACTGGAGACTACTATTCAAATAATGAAGACATCTTGATTGATTCGATTTATTGGTTTGAAACAGATAGTTTCATTTACGTTCTACACAAATAACAAGATATGTACTAAGAGAAAGTACATATTTCAAAAGATAGGTTTCAAAGTGAAATCTATCACTTCATATTCTTATTATAGCTTTTTGTGTCACATAATTCGCCATGTCTTGCTACATTACAATATAAGACACATTACTCGGCGAACTTCCTGAATCCCGTATTTTTACTCACAGATATATATAATATTACTATCACTGAAATCATGAACCACCGATGAAAACCTACGAGCAATGGACCACCGTTTCATCCGAGTGTCGGGCTCCTCGTGGGTAAGCATCCGTGAACCCTCACGTGGGGATCAAACACAGGGCCTTTGGTCACATGCGAGAACTCTTAACGGTTGAGGATATACTGGAACGAAACGGCCATTCGATGCTTTCAAGTTTTTAATGATGCTTTAACGTGGATTGGTTCGTGACTCGATAAATTCAACAATTCTCACAGCTCCTAACTGACAATAATTTAATGTAAAGTACACAAAAGTGAATAAAATCTAACCTTTGGATTAGAATATTTATCTGAATTAGTTGGCTTACGTCCATAATCCTGTTCAAATAGTTTTTCATATTCTCGTAAACGAGATTTAAAATTATGTAAGTAGTAAGTCAATCTATTGAGAATCTGGTCGTTCGATTCATTAGTCCGATCTGTAGTTGACGGTAATTTCGAATAATTAGTTTCAGGATTTTTTAAATTTGCTTGACTCTGGATGAAAAAAACAAAAGGTATATGATCAATTCCAAGTTGAAAATAAAACAAACACCATAAAATCCGAATTATGAAAACAATAGTTGAAGAAGATGGATTCATACAATTCCACAGCTGTAAACAACTTACAATTACAAACAAAACAAAATGACAATAAACAAACGTTTGGTAAACTTGAGTTGATACATTTAAAATTGTTGATCCAAAATGAAACAAAATAATCTTATGAGAAGAATAGGACACAAGTTATGTAATTAAATATAGTTAAGATTGACACGTAATTTATAAGCTGAAAAGCAATAATCTAGAACAGAGATGATGTTGTGGTTACTACTGGTTATAAATAACAAGGAAAACAAATTACATAAGCGTAAAGAAAATAATAAATGATTCCACAATTATTGGACGTAATTAAAACTAAAACCAAGATAACACAAGAATAATAATAACATTAAGCAAGAGATAAAGAGGTATTTGATTATAGTCATAACCACGATGATAAAAAAGTCTTGTCACACTTTAGTTGAGGAATGTTTGGTAATCATCACTTCTCCGAAACGGATTGAAATTAGTGGATTGTTTGTTAGAGAAACGTTCCTACTAGTTTTCTAAACATACTTTAGGAAACCCATGTCTAACAGACATTAATGTCTCGACAAGTGCAACCGCCAGGCACCTGATGAGCAGTTACTACGATTCAAGCATTCAAATTAATGGACAAACAAACAACCAACATCAATGTTTGGCTTGTGTTGAAAATGCATCTCAACTTCGTCAATCAGAGACCTCAACCCAAAAACAAAAACTTAATTTTACGTGAACATGAATATATAAAAACATGCTTTGAAAAAAATTAGTTTCAAAAACTCATATTAATCATTACTTATTTTAACACAAACATTGGTACAATCAGGCACCAAATACATATGCGCCACACAAATCTCATTCGATATGTGTGAGGGCCGTGATACTGACCGGGTGCCCAAACCGGAGCATGTGGTTTTCTTAGGGGGCCAAACCCCGAGCCTTCGACCTGAAGGTCTGATCCACAAGGCAGTGATGCATCGTAAGGAGATGCAGTCCCATGGAAGCCGGTTACCAACAATTGGTTCATACGCTATTTGTTCCCCCAGGATACTGGAGCCCATGTGCACCATTGGTATGGAATTCGGTTAAAGCGCTGGACATTCGCTTTTCGTCCTCTCATTTTCGTAAACAACACCCCCGCCACGAGAAGGCAGTGAGTAGGACTTCCCTGACAGAGGCTATATACGCGTGGCCATGTGAGAGCATTTCGAGAGGGAGAGCGGACTCTCCCCACTCTCGGCCGTACCAGGGCATTTGGGGGCCATATTAATCAGACCAAATAGTAATAACTAACACAGGGAAAAGTACATAAATGTTTCGATTTTGTAAATCAGATTCAGGTAAAAAAATCTTTCTAGAAAGTAACTATCAACGAAAGTAAGTTATTGAATACTCATTCATTCATAAAACCAAATAATTTTCAAGGTATTATGAAGGCAATAATGTTTGTTAGGGTGTTTTTTCACGTGATACCTTTTTCATCTCTATGCTAATTTATGTTTTAAATAACCTTTAATAGCTGCTTTGATGATTTATAAACATTTCTAACAAAGAATTAACTATTCTATGTTATGTAATCACATGTTTATTGATATGACTTCGGAATTTACTCAATCGATAACACTTATAGTGAACAAAAAAAATGTTACAAAATCCTAAAATATTCTATACAACATCTCTACAAAACTTTAGAACTATTTAAAACAAAAATTTCAAAAAAGTTCCCCATATTTCCTGTGTACCGTAACGTTTTGTCATTGAATCAAGTCGAAAAATCAATTTACTATTTGCATTGTATATCAATTAGTCTCTTTAAATTGAATCTTTACTTGTCGTTACGCAAATAATTGACATTTTAACATAATAATTATTTCTTTATTAAAATTGATTTTGGAAAGGAGGTGATCTCTAAAGCTTGGTTAATAAGAGGATTTTTACTAACTGAACACAAAATATACATGATTTTTTTACGATAATTCAGAAGACTAACATGTCAGAAAGTGATTAGGCTGTCAAATATGTTAAAAACATTAGATATTTAATGCATGTTGAAGAAAAATACATAAACAAAGCATCTGACTAATAAACTCGAGAAAACTATGGATATATAGTTTTGCTGATCGAAGTAATTTAAGCCGTTCATAATCAAATACACAATCGCAAATAATATTTCGTTAACTGGTCAGAAGCACAATCCCAAATTGTTTGGATAGTACACTGATTGGTATTAAAGTTTATTCGTTTGATTATTTACTTCAAAGCCCTTAAGAAGGATGAAAATTAAGGTTCAATGTTTACGCGCAAATGTCAGGTATTTTCAGGATCGTAATCTTGCCATTATGTAATAGATACTAAGTGTTAAATATCAATGCTCGTAATGTGCAAGTTTAATATTCACATTTCATCAAGAATATTTTGATAGATTCTTGGTAATTTGATTCAATCTTCAAATTTTTTTAACGAATTCTAATTGCGTTTACCAAAGAAACTAAACATCGAAATGATAAAAAGACACTATTAATCAAGCTTACTTGTGAGTACTGTTTGATCACTAAGACAAAGCACTAAACAACTTAACATAATTCATCATGAGAATATATATTAAAGCCGACTAGTTATTTACTCGATGTAGACCGACGAAGATTTGAAGGAAATTATTGTTACAAAATATTACACATTTGCTGTAGACATTTCCAAGGTGCACTACTCTTAATTAACAGGATCATGTGTTTTTTCTAAATAACAAATTAATAAGGGTGGATCTCTATTTTATCGCAAATGCTTACTCAACTAATATTCACTAGCGAAGTATCTACTAGTAAATATAGAAAAAACATTTTCTTTACCAATAGCATTTGTAAATCCACTCATCCGAGTTGGAGCAGATAATGATGACTTCTATCAGCTACTTATGAGACTAAAAGCGCACTAATTTTCGAATAATGAGCAATGAATATCTCCGAGAGTAGCTGAATACAAAAAACAGTATGAAGCAGAAATGTACAGGTTGACGGTTTCTAGTAAATTAGACCACTAATGAAGTAGCCTGTATGTATTATGATACAACATTTTAATAAAGCCTCCAAAATCTGGGGCCTCGACTTAAACGTTCTCTCTAGGATAAATGGTTTAATTGAGAAGTTCGTATTTTTATTCTGGATGTCATCAACGTCTACTTCATATACAAGTGAAAATAAGAAATCTCAAACATACTACTAACTCATGACTCGATTACAGAACAGGAGTGAATAGTAAGAGAAATTAAATATAACAACACGTAAGACTCACGATAGAATTTGTTTTAGCTACACCGACGTCTGAATAATCTGATTTCGAAATTTGATTCATACCAATTGAACTATGATTAAAATTATTCACTGTATCTGCAGTATCATACACTTTAAAATCTGATAAGCGTTCTTGAAATAAATGCTCTTGTATGCATGATCGAATAGCTATTTCTAAGTATGTTGAAATAATATCACATGTAGATGATTTACGCTTAAATTGATTATCATTAGTATCGACAATATCGTTGGTCTTCGCCAGTTCTGGCACAGTCTTCTTTGCTTTCGTTGTAGTCGTTGCAGCTGGGGTTGTTGAAGCTTTAATACCAATCTGTGGAACATCACAATATGTATTTGTAACATGTGTTAGCATGTGATTTGTCTCAACTTTTGTTGTCGACTGAGTAAGATAATCAGTATCAACATCATCTTCATTATTGCGAGACTTCACACTAGATAAGTTGTCAGAAGTGTTATATCTATGATATAGAACAAAAAACAGCAATTTCAGGTATATCCCAGTGGTAACTATTAAGATATTCAGCAAAAAGATAGATATAAATTTTCGCATAGTTTAGTTACACACACTGAATTAGGCTAGATAAACAACTCAAATCAATAACCAATTGACTGCTATTGCATTCTAGTATAAAATCTAGCAGGGGTGTGCACCACCAACTGAGCCAGAGATTGAACTCCAAATCTTCAGGCTTTACAGTGAGCGAGCTACTTTTAAGTTTACACTGATATCTAGTGGTACATTAAATGATATTGATGAAATTATTCAAAACATAAAAATCAACTATTGGAGTGTGGTAGAATTACAGTACAACTATTCAAGTTATGGCATAAATCCACATGTTTAAAGTGATTAAATTTATATCCTTATTCTATGTTTATTATCGTTTACAAAAAGCCAATAAGCTGAGTTCCAATTACAGTATAGATTGACTTCAGTTAGCCAATAATCAGTTATAAGAAGTACACAACCTGGCGCATATGTGCATCAGTTCAAGTAGCCACAACACCTTATCAGTACAGCAAAGTGAGATTGTCAAGATAATTCGCAAAGTAACACAGGCACTGACATTATCAGTGATAACAGAAAAGATCGAATAAAGATTATGTGGGTAAAAAAGATTGGCCGTTAGTATATGGTTATGGAGATAGTTGAAGTTATCGTAGACTTAAACTAGACAACCATTGGAAACCTGGAAGGATTAGGCAACCATTTCATCCTGTTGTGCAACTTTTCTGTTGTGAGCATCCAAAATCCTGCAACCGCGAATTAAGCCCAAAAAGATGGTCGCACAATTGATTGGGGTTAGACTTATACATCATTGGACCCCGGTTCAATGGTTAAGTTAAGCGTTCGCGCGAGAGAACGTAATTCTGGCATAGGTAATTGCGTGCGGCGCCGTGGATGAGAACTGATAAGAAGTTTTATACTAGGACAACATGAAAACCCAGTGCTCGCAGGTTTTCAGTGGTTGTATAACTTAAATCAGTTTGTGATTTTAATAAAATGAATCGGTTGAATAAAATAAGATAATTTTGAGACTCAAAATTTAAGGGAAGACATAGAGTGAATACATCTGCACCATTATAGACGATTCTGAGACAAGTGGCCCTATGTTCCCAACCACCGGTACTGATAATCGCTAGGAACTCAACCAGACAGTCTGCACCTACCAACATGGCCCAGTTTCATTGTCAATGAAATTATGAACTGATGCCACGAAATGGTTTGGCTACCCTTATTTTTCTTTAGATCTAATTCTGAATGATCAAATATCATGCACCAAGTGAGGTGGTTGGTTAGACATAATACACACTCCGACCACTTCAGTTAATAAAGATTTACTACCTCACCAAATGACTTGACATTCTTACCAAGGGTTTGAGTCTAACCTCGGCACTGATCACTCAATAGTCCTAAAAATTGCAACCATTCATTTACAAACATCAGATTAGACAGTGAAGAAATAAAAAAGTAAATAATCAATAGGATCATTGAGCTAACCGATCACTAATAACATTACAAATATTGTCAGGAGAAATTATCTAAATTAAGATCAACTTCTGTTAGATCTAATCATCAAAGGAAATATTAAGTGCATCCATCGAAGTGACTTGAAAGAATAAACAATCTTAACAGTTTTAAATTACTATATTGAAATAAATTATTCTCAAACAATTGATCAACAACGATAAATTAAAACAATATTTGATTTTTAAAACATTAATGCAATCAAAAGATGAAAATAGTAAAATAATTAATTTTTAAAACAGAAACCTAATGTTAGTTCAACCATTATTATTTGTGATTATTGAACTAACGACTAAGCAGACAATATGGATTTAACCTAGAAACGAAACATATAAACATAAAAATAATTGAGCTAATTAAAAGTAATCACATATCTATGTACTTAACCTTCTAATACAATTGAGTTGTCGGAAATACTAGTGATACTCTAAACGACTTTACGAATAGAAGACAATGAACTGGAATACAGATCTCTAGTCAGCAGATTTAACCAAAATAAACTAATGATCCATATTAAAAAGCATATATAACTTCAGAAACAAAATAATAAACTCAGTAGTGGAATGAAAATTATGAAATATGTATGAGAGTTAAGTTATTCGCTTCGAGTAAGTCACTAAATAACCCGCTTTAATTTTATTAATAAACAAGACATTTTAAAATACCGTTTTGATTCATTTCATAATCAACATGAAAGCGTACACATATAAACACAGTTTAAATTGTATCACTAGCCAATACATACACAATATGTGTACATAATACAACCCTGAAAAAATTAAACGTGAATAACAATAATTCATCCCTGTTGACGCCACTGAATAGCAACATATCGGTAATTAATAATACCTAAACCCATGGATATTTGTCAACTAATTGGGTCATATTCTATGGACTTTGTATTACAAGTTTTCATTTCAATAGTAATCGCTTTGTGCTGTACTTCAGTGGCAGATAAGTGAGAAACGACAGGGTCTGGAGAATTCCAATCAACCACCTACTAATGCTATACGCAAATCAAACTAATTAGAAAATAGATAAGATGGTTTGACTACTAATAACAATGCTAAAATCATGTACGTCGATCTATAAGCTGATGGTTAGATTAATGAAGACAACGTGATCATATTAAAATAAGGTAGTATTTCTTTGTTTAGTGAATAAATCACATTTACAATGCTAGAAATAACGAAACACCAAACTTGTTTATCATCGTTGTATCATAGAAATTATCTGATAACTAATTGAACAATTCGAAACTGTCAACCAGAGAAATTAGTAGCTTATTATTAAAACGAAAAAAGTGACGAAAAATATGTTAAGTACTGCATATTGTAGCATATTCCAAATCTTGTTCTACTAACTTCCAGATTCGATTTTTAGATTGTCTTAAACTTACTCTTGTGTAAGTGATTATTCAGTAGTCAACTCACTTTTTTCTTGTTTCTCTTTCATTACACATCCTCTCACACTCTCTCACCACAGAATGTACCTTCAGGTTAAATACAAACCAATTTATATTTGCACCTCATCAAGGGATTTATTCCTAGGGTAACTCCAGCCATCTGGTTAAGTTGCACATACTACGAGAACCTCTAAAACTTGATTTATTACGCATCAGCTTACACTAATTCACATAAACTCGTCTATAATACCATACACTATAACAGCATGGTTCTTTGATCTAGGAAGACATAAAGAGGAACAACAGATATATGTGCTATACCATATTTTAAGGTTAAAAACATTAAATAGGATCGGAGTTTTAAAAATATATATACCAAGAGAATTATTAACAATATATATACTTAAAATAATTGATTTGAAAAATAATATGCATAGTAAGTCGACAAGCCTATTGTTACACTCTCATAAAACTATAACAATTAATGTGATAAATGTGGAATGTGAACCAACTGACAAACAATGTTTTACACAAAGTATATACATCAAAACTGGATTTGTCATTTACGTCATCAAAGAGCTATGGTGGCTTAATTGACCGATGAGATTACTGAAATCGATGACATGCTCGAATTGATTATTTACTCAAAGGACAAACAAATCCTGATAGTTGAACCTATTAGACTACAAATACCAGAAAAACTAGATAATTAACTGAATCCAAGAGTTAAATGAAAAATTTTATATACAAGCAAAATATAAGAACAAATTTAATGTGACTACGAATCATCTGTTAATTATAACAAATGAATAATGAACGATAAAAATGAAGGGATGAAGAAACAGTTAATGATCGCACACTTCAGCAGTCATTTGTGAGAATAATGCTAACCTAACAATGATTATACACTTGATATTGGCTAGCAGTGAAAATGTTTCATTCTAGTGAGGATTTATTAGCTGGATATATATATATATATATATCTTCCCATCAATATAGAATTATTTCAAAGTTTAATATTTACCGCAACCACATTTAATTCAACAGGTCTAAATCGTTCTTATTCTTCGGTAACTCACATCAACATGATCACACACTCGTCTTAAATCGAATAAAATGTTCATTCTTAATTTGATTAACATTCTCAAGTATAAAGTCAAAAATTTAACTACAGAAAACATCGAGGTATCATTTAAGCCAACAGCGGAAATAATGATATTTCAACAATAAACAAGTCCAATAATATAAGCTGCCAATAATTATTGAAAATTCCACTTTATAACACAAACATAATATGCATAAATACCATAAATTTAACAACACATATAATTTTCTTTTAGGAATCGATAAGTAACAGTTGAGAATCACGCGAAATACAAAGTGATTATTTAATGTCCTTAAAGCAGAAGATCAATTTTTCTAACTTGATTCAACAAAAAAAAAAACAACTTCAACCGACTAAATCCTATTATCAGAAAAGCAATCTACACGGCAACACGAAAATAATACCGACAAAGATTCGTTTTTGTATGTATATAAAAAGTTAGACTTTATTCCTTATGGTAATAATAAGTTTTTATATTGAATACAATGTTCAAACTAAGGGGTAAGCACTTTCAAATCATTAAAAGTAAATAGTTTAAAATTATCTATTATAAAACAATAACAATCAAGTAATCCTGATTGTTTAGTCAACTATAAAGTTAGATTGATAGTAAACTAGTCAAAGTACAGACACGTGTGTGTACTGAAATACGAGTCATAACTAAAATATGAAATATAAAAGGGTAAAGAGTCAAGTCCTCAATTGCTTAGTAATTTATTTATTGAGATTTATTTTATTTAAGTGGTAAAATTTACTAAAACATTATTTTTTTTCAAATATTGGGAAAAAACTACTTCACTCTTGTATTTTATGAACAATAGTATCGCATAACTTGTATTGTTTGTCATGAATTCTCAGATCCTTGATTGCAACGAATGAGGAGATAAACAACACTTTAGTGATGAGTACTATCTATCGG